TACGAAATATATCTATAATGTTATTATCCCTGGGATTGCAATTAATGGTTGAACATCTCATTAGTTAAATTATCTCTAAACTAAGTCCAAGAATCAGATGGCTCAACATGCATAATCAAATCTTGATATTCAGATTAACCTAGTTGGGTAATACTTATTTTAGCGACATCACCTTCAATAGGGTCAAAAACCATATCAAACCTAATAAAATTATAAAGAAGATAACAAGCGAAAATGATTTTACATTATGTCTTAATTGAATAAAATGACTTTTTCCTTAAAATTGTCCATTTAATTTTTAATATACCAAAACATCTCTTGATACAATTTCTTACTTGAAAGTCTTTTATATTGAAGTAGTCCTATGGGGTCGTCAGTTGGAGTCCTGTCTTCCAATCACTAAAATGGTATCATTGGCCTTTATAAAGGTGCCAAGAATCTTTCCACATTTATGTATTCAGCATTACATAAATAGTAATTATTGGTTAGAACACTCAACAACATTAAAAATATGGAAATAAGGTGTTTTTTTTTTAACATTACACAAACATAATAAAAATAATACTTTGTAGGATTCTCAACTTATTCTTGTGTGTAAGGGCATCCTTTAACACTCTATCATGTATTGTAAAACCTTTTCATCTCGATAAAACATATATGAATTACATATCTAGGATGTAAACACTAAGGATATTGGTACCAATTTCATTTTTTTTAGCCCTATATCTAGGCCTGTTAACTATATCTTGATGTATGTCCCATCCAAAGTACTAAAATAATCTTTAAACCATTTTCATCTATTATTTATTGAATTTTTTGGTATGGGTTCGAGTTTTTTAAACAATAACGTATGCAATATTAAAACAAAATTTAACGTAAAATAGAATTGTCTATTAATAGTTTTTTCAGATTTGACCATTTGACACTTCATAACCTTATTTTTTGTATAATGGGCAATGATATGGAGAAAGCTAATTACTAGTTCTTCTATTAACATATGTCTAGATGACTATAACCCATTTTATATTTTAAGTAAATGACATAATTTTGCAAAAGCTATTTTATCAATTCTAATATTATCTAGACACTGTATATCACTCCCAAAGACCATTGCGTTTAAGTTTAACTCTTTAATACGTAACCTATCATAAGATATTTCACCATAAGTTAGTCTAAGTCGGTTTCTTACATTCATATTTAATAAAGTTACAGCAACAAAATATAACATATGCAACAAAGTCTTCATCAGATTCAAATGCATCAAAAGCAATGTAACCAATTACATCTTTCTTCTTAGTGATAAACCAACTATATCTGTTTAGAAGATAGAATATCATTAAAGTTGAAAACATAAATGGAAAGCAAATCTTGGCATATGGTAGATGGAATCTATCGAACATCATCAAATAAAATATAAATCACAAATAAAAAATTGAAAGATTGGAAGGAGCTAAAACAAATTAACCACAAAACAAGGCATTTATATCATAAACATAAATCCAAATCTAAATGACATCTAAAAAAATGAAAAATATAAACATTGCAAGGCAACATTAATTATACACAATCAATAAGAAAGTATACACATCGTTTTGTGTAAAAAACAAAAATAAATTTAACATGACGAAGATTAAATGACGTATGAAAAAGCTAGAACTCTTTCAAAGAGAAAAGTAAATGCTATGAGCTAAAATTTGTTGATATAAATTAGAAATATATTGGTTATTGAAACATGATTAAGACATCGAATAAGGTGTTCGATATATACAAATGCCTTATTCGATGTATAAATTATAGGTTTTTTTGCTTCATGATTAGACGTTAGAATGTTTATATTGTCAGAACAAAGTCATCAAGAGGGAAAAATTTAATATGTCGTAATTAAAGCAATTGTGGGAAGAAATATCTCAATTGATAACCAATTAAAGCATTTTTCAATATAAATGCCTTAATCATTTGTTTATACTGTGCCTGAAAATGGATTATGTCATAACACTATCTACGAGAAAAAAAAAGATTTCCTATAAATTAATGTGTTTTTTCATACAAACGCCTTAATTATTTATTTATAGGCATGTCATGGATCATGACATAACACTTTGATATATGAAAATAAAAAGATTTGTTTTAATTGACGCAATGATTATTTAAGGCATTTTAACAACCAAATGCCATAATTGATGATCATTTAAGGCTTTTCTTCATTTCAAATACCATTAATTTCAAAATAAAAAAAATTAGCAGCAAAAACTTACAATTGAGTTTTAGTTACTTTTCAGATATGCTTTTTAAAATGATAACGATTATTTTATAATTTTTTATTTAGATCAAATTTAAAAATAAAATAATTTTTTTCTTCGAAATCTTAGAATACTATAGGAAAGATATGTTTCTGATTTTGAAATTTTTGGTAATAGTAGGAATATGTAATTTTTTTTTATAATTGGATTACCTTTAACTAAATGTGAAAATTAAATATTCACCATTAAAATTTCAAAAAAAAATTTATAAATTTTTTCGAATCAAACACATTTCAAATACAAAAAATAAAAACAATGTTGAAAAATAAAAAAAATTACATAAATTTGAACTCAAACATTTAATTCAATTATAAATGTATATTTTTTTATTAAAACTTGAAGTGAAGTTCGAGTTTCTTTTTCTTATATAAAAACATAAAAATTTAATGAAAAAGGAAAAGGTGAAACAAAGTTATTGGAAAATGGAGGAAGATGTATATGATGATTACGAGGATCAGGTTTGAGCAGAAATTTGAAGCAAAAAAAAATGCTTTTTTTTTTTAAAGAAAACGCGGAGAAGTGGAGGAAGGGTCCAAATTCATGACAGTCATCGTCACCCTTCCCACATACCATGCTACTTCTGCAAGTCAATGACAGCCTCAACCCTCAACCTCCACCTCCCGTGCACGTAAAGAGAACTGGAGAAAACAACAAAATAAATAAAATAAACCTCTTTATAGAATTAAAATGCTCTTTCTTTTTAACTTTGATTTTTTTTTCTCAAATACTTCCTTATTTTTGATTTGGGAAAGAGAAAACTTGAATCTGATTTTTTATAAAAAATATATATATACTTGTTATTTAATCGAACACTCAGCTGTTATGTACTTAATTAATTAGCATTACCAACATAAACTCAAAAACAAGATATAAAACAACATATAAGGAAGACGGTTAGATGTGTTGGAAAAAATATGCTATTTTTTTTAAAATTATAAGTATAAGAAAAGTTATATTTATAATCAAGTATTGTATTATTAAATAATTAAATAAATAAGTCAATCAACAAATTAAAATTTAATTATACAAATTCAATATAGAATTAAACCAATTTCATATATAATGAAATTTAAATAAAAAATCTCAAGATTTTAAGATCTCTTCCTTATTATTAATTAAATCAAAATCTTATTGATAAGAATGTGTTAATTTAGTAAAGAGAAAGCTTTTTTTTTTTTTTTTAGAGTCTATCAAAGTTTGATCTTTATAAGAATATTTGAAATATAAAACTTCAAATGTGTTGTGAGATTGTCCGTGGAATAGATTGGTGATATCTGGATCATATTAAAAGAATGGATTGAATTCAAGATCATTCATGTAAATGGAATTGGTCAAATGAATAATAACTACTAGTAGATTCCTTTCTACCACTTTTCTTTCAAATATCTAAGCCTACCAATTTGTGGAAGGATAATGTTTTGAAGTTCTAGAATCTGACATCCTTAAAATTTCTTGGTAAGCTCAATAAAAATATTGAAGACAATAACTTACATTTTCAAAGGATCGAAAGACCTCATTTTTCAAATTGCTTCTCACCTATATATATATATATAATTTCTCAAATGTATTAAAAACTTAAAAAGGAAAACAAATTGTTAATGATATGGTGGACTACTTACATATTTTTTGTTCTTAGCTTGAATGCATCCATGAATTTAGTAACTTGCTTAATTATATACATTAATTAAACTAAATTATCAATAACAAAATAAACAATAGCATGAATTTTCGATTTAACTCAATTACATTTAACAAATTTATAGTTAAAATCTTAATATCAAAAACATTTTTATTCTTAAACTAGGATTTCTTTTACTAAGAAAACTTTTAATATGTGTGCTGGAAACACGCAAGAAAATGCCTTTTATTATGCCTTGTCTCCTTTCTATTAGGTTAGTTTTTCAGCTGTTTCTCTACAAACTCAAAAAAAAAATATATATATATAAATATAAAATTGTAGCCAAAAAAATATAATATCATAATAAAATATCTACAATAAAGTGATAACTGAAAGACTTTGTAAAAGAAAAAAAAAAGAAGTACTAATGGAAATGAAGACAATCCATGTTTACTACTCATACCCTAATAAAACAGAGGAAAAAACACAGAAAGAGAAAGAAAAGGATGAGACATTAATTAAAAGGAAAGAGTTGGATAAGGCCAATGAAGGAAAAGAAAAGGCGGTCAAAGTTTGTGGTATATGAAAACACGAGGAATTAATGGAGGATTGAAAGGACTGTTTGATGGATGTGTGAAAACCATGTGACTTCATTGCCCATTTATTAACACAAAATTTCAAAAAAAAATAAATTATATGCTATATATTTTTTTATTATTGATTTGGACACCCCTCTTATAATAAAGTTCCAATTTTAAATTATGAAAAATATTTTTAATAATTTTTTACATATTATTAATTTTTATATAAAATTTTATTAATTTATTGATTTTAATTTTTTCTTAAAATTTTTATTAAATTAATTAAAAAAACTTTAATAAATTTTATGCAAAAAATTTGATCTACTTTTTGTCCTCGTTATATATAAGGCGAATGATGTCCTTTTATAGTATAGGAATAGCAATAGGGGAGCTGGGTGCCCCAAATAGTACAATAATTTTGCTGGTGACTGATGACATATCCATATAGTAATTTATTTAATCCCAGTATGAAGTACCACAGTCCATACTTCCCATCACACACACACACACACAACCAACTAGGAGTGAACAGAAAAATCACGTCTCCTGTCTCTGCTTCTTTCTTCTTCATTTGAGGCCACGAAGATGGCCAAAACACAGATCCTGGTTTCCTTGGTGTTGGTTTTTCTTGCAGTAAGTTTTAGTAAAAGTGAAGGGTACTCAGTGAGAGAAGCAGAAGAAGAAGAAGAAGCTGACAGAATATCAGCACTTCCAGGACAACCCAAAGTCTCTTTTCAACAGTTCTCTGGTTACGTTACTGTCAACAAAGTTGCTGGTCGAGCTCTCTTTTACTGGCTTACTGAGGCTGCCAATGACCCTTTGTCTAAGCCTCTGGTCATCTGGCTCAATGGAGGTTAGTCTTTGTTCACTTCTTCCCTAGCCAAACACAAAAACAGTGCTACACTTTGTTGGAAAAAAACAAAAACCCAAGATTTTTCGTTCATTCATTTCTTCTTTTTCTTCTGCTTTTCAGTACTGTTATATTGTTTATAGCCGTCAAGCTCATAAATGCAACGTTATTTTTGCCTTTGTTTCCTACTTTCCTCAACTATTTTTTGTCCTTTTTTTTTTTTGAAATATATTTTGTCCTTAAACGGACACATTTCAGTAGCTTCTTTGCTGCCGACATGATCATAACTGATGAATAAGATTTTTCCTACATAAGAGATGTTATGTACTCAAAATTTTTGTTTTTACTGCTCTCTTTCTTTTCATTTTTTCTTTAATCATCAAAAACTTGACTTTTTCTAGGCTTTTTGTTCTTTGTATAAAACCGTAAAATTTTAGTACTGTAAATTCCCATCTTCAATCTACAAATTACTTAGAGCTGTATAATTTGTAAAGGAACTGAAAAAGGAAAGTGCAAATATGACCCAAAAAATTTACAACGGAGAAAAAAATATGACGGGTAACTGACTGAGTGGCCTACCAATAACTAGGAATGATGACCAAACAACCAATGAAAGAATAGAATTCATGAGCGACTCAACTACCACAAGATAGTAAAAAAAAATCCCTTCATCACATAAAAATACAAAACCATATATAGAAAATTTCCTTCTCTCTCTCTCTTTTTCTGGACATTGAAGTAATAGCAAGAAAAGCAACCAGAAAAACAGGTTACATTTATTAGGCCTCAGCAAATGTAATGAATGGAGGAGAAGATAATACCAGCAGCAATTATAGTTAAGTCATAGCCACCTATTCAGTTGTTTCCATCAATTACATTATAGCGGCTGAATGGCTAACTTAAGGAGCATCCTTTGTCTTTATGTTGCTTAATTACACCAAGTCTAAATAGCATATAGAATTGAACTTGAATGTTAGTTCAGTTTATTCATGCAATCTTTTAAAAGGAGGCATTTAAAATATTTGAAATTCAAGTATCAGCAAATATGATCTCTTTTCTTTGTGACCATTTTTTGTATATTAGAAAAAAAAAAAAACAGCATAGAGAATCTTGGACGGCCAGGCAAGTTATGCACATTTTAAGTAAATTTCATTATATGAGTTTTTTTTTTCGTTTTTTTTTTTCTTCATTTTTGAAGTTAAAAAATCTTAAAGGGACCCCTCTAAAGTTTTATTTTATTTTATTTTTTTAATTTGTTTCCTTTGGTTTTGTGATTCTATTATTAGGTCCTGGTTGCTCCTCTGTGGCATATGGTGCATCAGAAGAAATTGGTCCGTTCAGAATTAACAAATCAGCCTCAGGGTTATACCTCAACAAGTTCTCATGGAACAGTGTGGCTAACCTCTTGTTCTTGGAAACTCCAGCTGGGGTAGGCTTCTCTTACAGCAACCATAGCTCAGATTTGTTCGATACCGGCGATCATCGAACTGGTTGGACCCCAAAACCCCATTTTATGCAACATAACATTAGTACATAATTAATTATTAAGTATCATGGTTTTTTTTTTTAATGTTTTTTGGACTTAGAAGTTATTGCAGAATATTTGCTTGTGATTATTATTGGTTGGTCATCATGGGAAAGACCAGTAATATTCGATTCTTATGACCATGATGATTCTATGGTCCTACTCTTTATCATAATTAATCCATTGACCAACTTCACTTGAGCAAGATTATATATTGTATGTTTAAGACTGAACTTGCTTCATTGATCAACAACAAAATATAAAGCATGCATAATTGCTTGTTGATAGATTTGATGGCTCTTCGGTCCACATTCAGTACGTCAAAGGCTAAATGTGATCGATGCTGGGAAAGTAACAAAAATAGTTTCCTCTAGAAATAATCAATTAATGAAAGACTAGAATTGCCATCTAGAGTCAGCTCAGCTGATTGACAGACTTAACAGTTTTGGTTAAAAATGTTACCATTGGTAGATTGTTAATTGTAAATGAATTATTCACAGTTGTGATCTTCTTTGGTGATTGTGATTCAGCTATAGACTCGTTGGAGTTCTTGATTAGATGGCTTGATCGATTCCCACGATATAAGAACCACGAAGTTTATATCACTGGTGAGAGCTATGCAGGCCATTATGTGCCTCAGTTGGCTAGACAGATCATGATTTACAACAAGAAATCCAAGCACCCAATAAATCTCAAAGGAATAATGGTAACTCCTTCATCCGTAACATTTCATGCAATTTGTTTTTAATATTCATAAAAAAAAGAGAGCTAGAAAGAATATATGTAAAAGCTTTTGTTTGTCATTGTCAACATATGGTAAGTAAATTAATTAAAGCCTACCCCAACAAATTCCATTAAATTACTTTTGAAATAAATAGAGTTTATTTTTTTCCTTTATTTTTTTTAATAATCTTCATGTGTGTAAAGTAGATCAAAATGAAATGCAGGTGGGAAATGCAGTCACAGATAACTATTATGATAACCTTGGGACTGTGACATATTGGTGGAGCCATGCCATGATCTCTGATAAAACGTATCAGCAACTTATCAACACTTGTGATTTTCGAAGGCAGAAAGAATCAAACGAATGTGAATCATTGTATGCTTATGCCATGGATCAAGAGTTTGGAAACATTGATCAGTACAACATATATGCACCCCCTTGCAATAATTCAGATGGTAGCCGTTTTACCAGGCAGAGTATGCGATTGCCTCATCGACCACATAGGGTACTAATTTCTAGTTTATAGATCAGAAAAAACAATTATCACATATTCACACTATAATCAATACTTATGATGCATTATAGTTTTCAGAATGAAAATCTTTGTCCTAGTTGATTTTCTTAATCACCATGTTCATATCCTTAATGGCCTATTAACAGATTTTCAGGCAGATATCTGGTTATGATCCTTGCACAGAAAAGTATGCTGAGATTTACTACAACAGGCCAGATGTGCAAAAAGCACTCCATGCCAACACAACCGGAATTCATTATAAATGGACTGCTTGCAGGTACTTCAATTGCATGCTAGTCCGTCATTACATGATTAATTAACAACATTGGCTTTGTGTTAACTTATGCCTTTACTTTTCCTTTGATACAGTGAAGTTCTAAATCGCAATTGGAACGATACAGATGCATCCATTCTACCAATTTACAGGGAAATGATTGCTGGTGGCCTGATAGTTTGGGTTTTCAGGTTGGCAAGATTGTATTTACCATGATATAAAGCTTGAATTTACCTTCTATATCTAGGAGAAATTCCATTCAAAGTGAACCTTTTTTTTTTTTTTTTTTGATCTTGGATGATAATAGTGGTGATGTAGACTCAGTGGTTCCAGTTACAGCCACAAGGTATTCTCTTGCACAACTGAAATTAACAACCAAAATTCGCTGGTATCCTTGGTATGTTAAGAAGCAGGTAAAACATCTTTCTTTATCTTATCCTTTTTTATACTGTGGAAGACACCATAGCCAAATATAGTTAAAACAGGAAATATTATAATATTTTTTGCCTTTAATTATGTCATATACCATAGATTTGTAATTGAGTCTAGGTCTGGATTAGACAGTAAAAGCAAGCCTGGCCGACTGAGCGGTACAAGATTTCCAGATTTTTCTTTTCAATCTATTTGGACTTTTGCTTACTTTTCAGCATTATATTGTATAATTGTGATTGATATAAGCAGCAGTGACCTATATCTGTCTTTAAGTTTTGAATAAGACCTAGAGTTTGGACTTTGAACACAGATCCTACACTGTAGCATTGGGTGAGCCATGCTTGTAGAAGGGCAATTATGCATCTGTTTAGCTATAATATGTCCCACTATTGACTATTGGTGTTTGTTTTATCACAATTCAAAGAACCAAATGATCCAATCAAGATGAGACATTTTGTTTTTTATTATAAAAAATCTATAAATCTAGTAAGAGATATGGAACATTATTGCAATGATCATGAAGGCACAGCTATATTCGCGTGATATTGACTAGAGACACGCTCATCGCAAATTTGTTTGAGATTGCATTTTCCTATACTTTGAAATGATTCTAAAATATATACAAATGGGATGTGATTTTTGAAGGTGGGGGGCTGGACTGAGGTCTACCAAGGGCTAACATTTGCAACAGTGAGAGGGGCAGGTCATGAAGTACCACTATTCAAACCAAGAGCAGCTCTTCAGCTATTCAAATCATTTTTGAGAGGTGAACCCCTTCCAAAATCTTGAAAAAAATGTCTCCCCCAACTCAAGTATCCACTTCTGTATTGTTGTTTAAGACAGAATTATGTCATTTTTAACAATTGAAAAATCAGTAGAGAAAAGGTTTGATTGTCTGACACAAGGGAAAAGAAAAGGGAGTGAATGGAATGAAATAAGGTTTTGGTTGTAAGTATGCATTTGTTTGAATGAAAAGGGAAAGTATAGGCTATTGGCACTTCCTTATCCTGATTGGCTTTTTTCCGTTCCTACAAATGCTATTCACCTTTTCCATTCCTGTTATGGGATTCATATGAATAAAATAATATTTAGCTATAGATATCCCTTTTCCATGAAGAACATAGTTTCTTGTTCTTGTACTTGCCAAAATTGTTTTAGTGGATCCATTCCATTGATTCAAAGTGGGAATATGTAGCAAACATTGCTGCTAATTAGATGGCAAACAAGTGACCATGCATGGATATTGAAAAGGATTGTGGACTTGCAAATGCAATGCTGATCACAACAAGGCAAAGAACATAAAAAAAAAAGGGGGGGGGGGGGGGCGCACCAATGCTACTGGTGATGGTCCATTGAAGGCTGGGGGTCTTACTATTGGAATTTAAATCCTAAAGTTCACTAATTAATGTTATTGGGTACAATGAACACTTGGTCTGCATCAATGGATAGAGCCATAAAGTCCCCACAAAGCCAGCTGGTTTGAAACTTTGGTCCATTCTTCATTGCAAAAGGTCACTGTTGCTTGTGGCTGTGGTTGTGGTTGTTGTTGTTGTTGTGTCTGGTGATCATGTCCATTAACCATCTACTCTTTTATCATGGTATTGGTAGTAGATTCTTCTTTGTCAAAGTTAGTAAATTTTTCCAAAACCACATTTCAATCGATTATGATTTATACATATATATATATATATATATTATTATGTATATTTTATTAAATGTTGGATTCAAACGTTGGTGCTGACTATAGCGAATGGGCGTTAAGGTAGTGATTCTTTAAATGGTGAAATGCAGGAAGTCAAAAAAGAAAAGAGATTTGCATTGCTGGGTGAAATTTTATAATTTTATATGATGAAAAAAAAAAAAATCATCTTCATGAATTAGATCTAAGACTTGTTTGGGAGAGTTCAAATTAAACAAAACAAATTACGTTTTTGTGGCAAAATTTTGACTACACCAAGGTGTTTGTTTACTTAAAATTTTCAATGGAAAAATGACTTTCCACATCATTCCGGACGTTCCCGGAGACAATCTAGACCTCGATATACAGGGAAAAGAATTCTCTTTTGAATTTTTACGAATAAATCCTAATTGAATTTTATGAATAAATACAATTTAATAAGTATTTTTTTTTTTACAAATTAATAAAATTTTAATCGTATATAATCAAAGGATGATTTTATGTTATAATTTCAATATTATAAAAGAACTTATAATATTTTGGTAATTTTAATCATTTTTACAGAAGATATAAATTATATTATGCATAGTTTGGAAGAAGTAATTGATTTCCCGGTGAAGGTTTATTTATAAGGACAATCTGAATGGAATAATATGTTTATTTCATCTATTATCAAGGTAAATTAGTTAAAAGATAACATCAAAAATTACTTTTTTATGATGAGAAAAAATATTTTTTTCATCTTTTTGAACGAGAATCAAATCATTCCCCAAGTTATTTCAAAGCCTCCTTAAGGTTTGACTCTGCTATCAAAGTAAATTAGTTAAAAAAAACCTTGAAACCTTAAAAAACCCTAAACTCTAAAACTTTAAAAAAAATTTAATCCTAAAACCATAAAATTCTAAACTTTGAAATCTTAAAGTCTAAACCCTAAATCTTAAAAACTCATCAAAATCCTAAATTCAACTCAAACTTCAACAAACCTTGATCCATGCCAACACCCAATGCCATCCCAAAATTTTAAGGATTCGTATGAAAATTTCATATGAAATAATTTATTCTCGAATGCCGCTTAGAAGATGAGATACTAAGAAAATTTTATTTTTTAAGTTTTTTGTACGTTTCCTTAATAAAATAAACAATAATAAGATATGACAAAGAGAAATAAAAATGAGATTTTAAATATATATAGTTGCACCTAAACTCTATTTAAATGTTGAAGAGTCCCAGTGATCTTTTTAATATAAGAGCCTAATTTCAAAATTGCATATAATTATCATGCATAACACACTTTCGTATCTTTTCATTTTTAGATTGTTTCTTGCATTCATTCCACACGTTCAAGTCTTTTAATTATTATTATTTGTTTGTTAATTGTAGCAACATTGGCTTTTTTTTTTCATAAAAATTTTTTTATGAAAAATGTTATTTTAAAAAATATATATAGATGGAATTTTAAAATAAAATAAAAGCAACATTTTGAGAAAAATAATTCTTGGTATTATGCCTAGATTTTGGAAAGTCACTAATAATTATCATTTACAAAGAATGTTATTTTCATTTTTAAAGAATATCACAGTAAATCTTAGGTGAAAAAAGTTATATTTAAATTTCACCTATATGTTAAAAAATTTTAAGATAATTCTTTAATCTAAAGATTTTCATAATATTTCTCAACAAAGACTTTTAATAAAATTGATTTTTTTTTTTTACAAGTGAAGGGAATTATTGTTAAATTTTCAATAGAAACCATTTCATCCAAAACCAAAGACAATGCATGATTAATTGGTACTGTTTTTTTAAATGGGCACTATAGAGGTGTTAATCTTTTCATCCAAAACCAAAGACAATGTATGATTAATTGGTACTATTTTTTTAAATGGGTACTATGGAGGTGTTAATCTTTTTCCATACATAACCGTACTTCTGAACTAAACTCTATTTTCAAAAACTAAAAATATATTTTTGATAAACCTCAAATCTTTTTTTTTTTGGGTTTTATTAAAAAGATAAACTTTTTAGGTAACCAATCACACTTAAAAAAAATGATCGGTGGCAATTCTTATCATTTTTTTCGATTTTTAAAATTTTTTGTCTAATGTTGTCAATACCGTTGTGACAGCTTGGCAAATCCATTGGAAATTTTTTTTTAAAGTCAAGCCAAAAATTAATCATGAGTTATTTCAAGCTTTGGATTTAATGGTTTTAGTTGATATTTTAATTTTAATTCCCTTTCATTTTATTTTGTTCAATATTGCATGGTAGTTAGCATTCCACTATGTTTTGTTATTTGTTTGCCCCTTGTATTGCTTTTACTTGATATATTTTTTCGCACACATTTTGCATAATCATTTGCATGCATGAGTTCTAGACCCAAACTTTATTCCTATTAGGAGGAAGTTAAGTAGCTACACTCTCATGAGGTGATATTCTTTGCATTTACGAGCAAAATACTATCACTCAGATTGAATCCTTTCTATTTGTAGCTTGTAATGGATGAAGATCGCAGTGCCTTACTAGTTCATAATGGATGATGATGTAAGGAATAATATGAAAACTTTTAGACAAATAAATCCCAACCCAACATACCGAGAGCTATAAAAAGCCAGCCTAGGATAGAGCCATGTTGTCTTTTTTAAAGAAAACCATAAAAAATTAAAACACTGTAGATATTTTGTTGTATTATTTATTAGCTATGATTTATTTGTTTTGATTACTGATTCATTTCATTTTTTTATCCTTAATTTTGTCGTATACATCACGTAGGCATCACATTTTTTAAAGGGCATTGTTTTGGGTCAATCAGCTATGAAAGAAGTTATGATGAAGCCACCAATGGTATTAGTCTTTTGTAAGAACTGTTTTAAAGTTAAAAACCAGTTAAAAAGCACTCAGTATATATGAATCTGAGTTAGAGCTATGCAGTTGAGTTAAAAGCTATATGGAGATAATGGGGAATAAAGGAGAAATAGTCTTTTCTAAAAAAAAGTATGAAAATGTGGTGTTACTCATGTTAGTGAAGATTGATGAATCACTAATCAAGGTTGTAGTGTAGTTTTGAGACCTATTGTATTGGTTCTTCATGTTTAACCAAGATGACTTAACCTTTATAGAAGAGTACTTATCTCTATTTTGGATAAAATCTATCAATCGAGACAAAATATACTAGAAAAGTAAAAAACCATCGAATATAGAAAGAAATTAGCAAATATTATGCAAGTAGGGGTTAAGAAAATAGATAAGCACAAGAAGGAAAAGAATGTGGTAGAGATCATGCTCTTAGCATTTTTATTAGAACATATAAAAAAGCATTTGAATGATGATTGTAGATTGGATTTGTTTACTTTGGCTGTTTATGGACTGATGATATTTGCCAAGGTATTAGGATACATAGAAACAGCGATGGTTAACTTCTTTGAGCAATTAGACAAAGGCATAAATCCATCATCGATCATCTTAGCTAAGACCATCAGATAATTAAATTTTTATCAAAAGAGGGGTGAAGGATGATTCATAAGATATGCTCAGTTACTCTTTATTTAGATCCATAGTCATTTTTAGATAAAAGAGAAGATATCATTTCGGCTTTTCTCCATTTACTTCATTCCAATCAAGGAGGTCATCACCAAGGAATAATGAAGGGATTGGACGAAAGGCTAAATGGGTGGCATTTTTTCTAAAGCTCACTGCAAATACCTAATTTAGTCTGAGGTATTTTTTAATTTAATGTTAGGATTTTAGTATTTTGTTTAGTATAGGATTATTTATTTTGTTAATTAATTGATTTATGGGTTTTTTTTTTTTAAAGAGAAAAGTTTGATTTGGTTTGAAGTCTAGTGTTCTAATTAAAAAAGAGAATATATTGATTTGAGAGGTGGACTTAGATTAAAAATCTAAAATTGACTTTGATTAGGAGATTGAAACCAAGAAAATCTTTTCCTATTTGGATTAGAGGCCTATAGAAAAACCTCATTAGGATCAATTAGATACAATCAAGAATCAATCAAAAAATCAAAAGAGAAAGAGTAAAAATAAAGCAAAAAATTAAGAGTTTTTTATAGTCATTTCTAGTGTTTTTGGTTTAGATAATTAGAATTTTCTTTTGGGAGTTATGTGTTGGGGAAAGGAGTTAAGAAGAAACACAATTATAAAGGCTCACGTGCTTTGAAATCAATTGTGACTCAATCTTTGGTACTTACTTTTTACTTATCTTTTTTTTAAGTTCTAGTTATCTTTTTATTTTATCATAATTGTCTATTTATTTATTTATTTGTTTATTTGTTTATTTTATTTATTTGACTATTTATGTATAATTTTAAGGAAAAATTAGAAAGCATTTACAAAAAAAAAACATTAATAATTTTTTTGAGAATAAATAATAATTATCCAATGATGAGATTTTTTTAAAAATTACAAAATGGTTAATTCTTTAATAAAATCTCTAGGGGAAG